TCTCTGTACCGAAGGGGGTATGAGACAGCCTGTTTGCGGACTGGCACCTCTTCCGTCTTTGAATTAACAACTCTGTCTTTGCAGAATATCCTGTGCTTTATTGTCCCTTCAATCCCCACCTTGGAAGATGAGAGGTGACATTGCAGAGAGCTCCGCGCTTGGAAAATGACTTTCAGAATGGTGTTCTGGCAATTTGAAACTTTCACTCTCTTATCTTCAGCCTCTTGGGGCTTCAATGGGAGACAGCAAAGTGCCTCTTCCTCCTCCCCTCTTTTCTTTTCCTCCCCTGTTCTCCTGCAGCTGCAGCAGCCGGGATTCAGCAAGGTCACTCAACTCCATTGCTTCCTGCATGCAGGAGATCTCAAATTAAGGGGTGTTGGGAGCAGCCTGTTGAGATGAAACAGCCTTCACTCAGCTCCTGCAAGCAAGGAAACAAAACTCATTCACAGCAGCTCCAGCCTGGCCCACCTTCCCTGTGCATTAGCGGGAGAAAAGGTGAAGCTGTGAAGGAGCAAAAAGCAGAGCGAAATTAGTCCATCCTTGAGCTGAAAGCACATTCGTCAAGCAAAGGGAGCTCCCAGATGTCATTATAAGGCCTTGTGGCTGCAGCTGCCTTGTCCCCTCCTTGGTGTTTTCACCAGCATCTCGTTCTGGTTCTTGTTTCCCCCATATTCATGCACTGCCTCCCCTTTCCCCCTTCACTGGTGAGGCAGAGCTGGTCCTGGCTCCATCCATGCCCTGGTCTTAGAGCACAGTGCAAAGATATGGGAGCTTATCCCTCTGGGCTTGCCAGCAGCGTGATCTTTTTCCCACCAGCCTTAGTCTTCTGCAGGCTGGGGGGAGTTTGGTATTCCATGTGTGTAGTTTTGTATCTGAAAATATAAAATAAAATAAAATAATGCAAATGAAACTAAAAATAAAATAATAAAAAGTAAAATTAAATATAAAGCAAAATAAAATAAAAGAAAGTAAAATAATGAAAACTAAGCTAAATATTAAAATAAATAAGATAAATTTATAAAAAGTAAAATAAAAAATAAGTAAAATAAAATAAAGTAAAATAAAGTAATTAAAAACTAAAATAAAAAAATAAATAAAATTAAATTAAAATAAAATAAAATAAAAGCACCAAGACATTTCCCTTCAAACACCATCTTCCCAGCAGCCTGTGCTATACCCCCCCAACAACAGCCCTGCCTTTTTCACAAAGGGGATAGTTCCAGTCATCTGATGACTGGAATCTGCCTCCAATCTCCTCCCTCCAGCACCTCTCTCATGGCTGCACCAGGGGAAGCCAGAGAAGCAGTATGCAGATATTGTCAAGCTCAACTTGATAGGTACTGTCAAAACTGCCGGAGTGTGGTGACAATAAACATTTCCGCTGGCTAACAATTTGCTGCGAAGGGGGCTGACCCTGAAATCGAGTTCTGCTGTAATGAGCACTCTGACTCCAAATATTTGCATTTTTGCTGACAAGGTTCACTCTCCAGGAGGTTCCCTCCACCCGTGAGCAATCTGCCTCAAACGAGACGCAGGAGGGATGCGGGTTCCTGAGCCAGTTTGTTGGCTGCTGGGCAGGAGGGATGTGCACATGCCCAAAATCAGCCACTGCGGATGGGGGATGCTCGACCCTAGGAGCTGCTCAACTCCGGGGTGTTGATCGCCTTCATTGAGAAAGCCTTTCCCCGTTAGGTTCTGTACGGCAGCGTGATGCTGTCAATGTAAAACTAAAGGTGATGATTAACCTCACATAGCAGATGGGGAAACTGAGGCACGGGGTGACTCAGGACCATGTTTGGACTGGTTTTGCTGAGCAGGACACGGAGCAGCCAAGAAAGGAGCAGTCAGTGCTGACTGCCCATCACTCAGCGCTGCGCCCCGGCCACACGGTGGGAGGAGGCTGAAGCCCCCCCGCCCTCTCAGCAGCTCGGTTTGGTGCTGCAGCTCATTCCAGCACATGGAAAGCTGGGGCTGCCCGCCCTCAGGAGCTGCTGCACTGAATCTTCTTCCACCCTCTTCAGAATGGCAAGTGGTTTGACCAAGGTTACAGAGACCAGCAGAGTGAAGAGCTAAGCATCACCCTCCTTAGCCCACAGTCCCAAAGCCCAGCTGGGCTCAGTGTATCAGACATACTGAGTTCCCTTGCACAGGCAGAAATGCAGTGCTTATGTGTTTGAGGATTGAGTTTCTTAGGAAAACTATATTCGTAAGGATGATCCCAAAATTAGTGGCCATTAATGATGGACAAATGACTGCCTAATTCCCCAGGGGCAAAGTTTCCAGCCTTGATAGGCTGAGGGTTTACTTGCACAATTCACCTCTGTGGAATGTCCTTCAAAGCTTACCCAAAGTCGAGCACCTCTCATGTTCTGCACCAGCACAGGGAGAAGGTGCAGGGCTTGATCCCACAGTATCCAATATGCTGCACATGGAAATGTCCTTTTGGTCAGTGCACACCAGCATGGCTTAAGTCTCACACATCCCATCCTAAGTGTTAGGCATGGGGCAGAGCAGCAGCCAGGACAGGATGCTGCTTTCTAGCTTATCACTTCAGCATCCCATTGCCACAATTAATCTTTAATACCATGAAAACACCCCCAAGCAGGCAGGTTCTCACAAGAAGGTGGGAGAGCTGGATTTCATTTCTGTTCCTGGCACTGGTTTTTTAGGGTGGCCATGGGGAAAAGTCTTCATCCATTTTCCCCCTGACACTTGGCTTCTATATTTGGAGTAAGAGGTGCTCAGAGTTCACCGCCCCTCTCACCACGTCCATCAGCAGTGCTTGCCACGCTGGGGCTTTGATTTCTTGAGAGCCCTAAATTCCTAGACAAATACATAATAAATTGTAATAAAACTTCACACTCCTGCAGGAACGTGGGGGAAAAAAGACAGAAAGAATCCTTATAGGTTTGCAAAAAGGACATAAAGGGAAGAAAAGCACAGCTTATTTCATTTTTATCTCCCTTTCCCTTCCCTACTGTAATGAAAGGCAATTTTCACCAGCAGAGTGTTGTCATTTTGCTGAAGAAAAAAATCACAGTTTTGGCCAGAGAGGATTATTTGGGTTTTTTTCACCCTATTCCTGACAGAGAGCTGTTGTGTTCCTGGTAGCACTGTGCCTTGGAAGGCACCCAGGCTCCAACATCCATGCGCTCCAGTGTGGCCATCCTGCACGATGCCGCCTTGCTGGGCTCACCATGGTGCTCAATAGAGTGTGAGAACTGGATGGGTGCTGCTGCACCCAGTTGTGCTGCATCCTTGGAATCTCCTCCCTGTGGTCCCTCTGTATGTCTCTACTGGGACTTTTTCCCAATGCTTCTTGTTGCAAGGGAGGTTCTCAGCACTGACAGACATGGTTATCATCCTCTCAGCCCTCCTAGGATTCTCCATCTCCAGGTGGACAGCCTCAGGTTCCTCTTATTTTTCTTTTCCGTCATAAACTGTGAGCCAAAACACCCTGGTTAAAGGCTACAAGCTGAATTCTCCAGTTCACCATTGACTGCAAAGAGATGATTTCTCCTCTTCCTTCTTCTTCCCCTCGTTCCCTCCTCTCTGGCACAGGACAATTACCACGGCTCCCAGACACACACCACAAGCCCCTTGCCAGCTGAGCCATTTCACCCTGTCCTCGTTGCAAGCCGTGCTGGGAAGCCCATAAAGCACAAGGGAGGGATAATTACTAGTCCCAGCACTGCGATGATAATTAATACTCTGCTAAAAGGAGCGCTTGTCAGGTCAGGGAGCAGGAGGAGGGATGGGAAAACAAACAGGCAGAGATAAATCCTGAGCAAAGGTTTGGGGATTTGAGGAAGGGGCTGGGGACAAGGGGCAGGAAGGAGGAGCATTGAGGTGCAGGTATCCAGGGTGATGGGAATGGGGTCTGTGCTCAACCACAGGCTCTTGGAAAGCTAGTGTTTCGCACCCATGGGTGCGCTATTGGGGAGCTTTACTCTGCATTGTATCACAGAACCCAGTCCCATCCTCCTTCAGCACTGAGACAGCAATACACCAAGCCAACCTGAACCATATTTGCCCCACTGGGGAGGTGGGAGGAGCTGGGTGAAGTTCCCAGTGTCCTCTCAACCAACAATGGAAAAGCTCTTTGCATGGTGGGTCCTGGATTGGACGGTGTTTGCCAGCCAGGCTTCTGCGTGAATCTTGCTGCCTATGGGTCACAAGGACTGGAGGCAAATTTTGCTCTCCTAATATTCACTTTTAACATAAAACTCTTCCCTGGGAAACAAGCACTATTCCATTTTCTATCTAAAGACTATGTGTGGTATTTAGCAAACAGCTTTGATCTTCAGCCCAAATCAACTCCATCCCTGAGTGAGCATCCCACAGACCTCACACCACACAAGCAGGATCTCCAAACAAGTTAGAGCATCTACTCATCCCCCTTTGTGCACACAGAGCTCCTCATACCCTGAGTTATGGCTTTCCCCTCTTCAAAGTTTTCTCAGTTTAATACTGATTTCAATATTTGGGGGACATCAGAGCCCACCTTTTAACTGAGGTTGGAGAAGGAAAGGTGGAAGAAATATAAAGAATTCCATGGTAGCAATGGGGAGCTTGAAACCTAAATGTCATAAATCAAAACTCAATAAATCTGAGTGAGGTGAAGCATAACAAAAGGGAGGGTGTCAGACAAATGTGGGCTTGGGGTTTTCCTCAAAGAGAGGCATCTGGAGAGCCCTGGGGTTTGTTCTTCTCTCCCTTGGTCCCATCACCTGAATGATCAGCAAACCCCCTTCATAGATGCTGTGCATCAGCCTGTTTGCAATGGAGTTAAACCAAAAAAGACAACCCATGGTAAAGGGTGAGAGAAGCAGAGGAGTGCTGGCAAGGGAGAACAATATGTTTTCAGACAAGCTTTAAAAAGGAATGTTATGTTAATACGAATTTGGCGTCACACTGTCATAACACCATCAAAATGACATGCTGCCACCACTAATACGACTGTTTAGGGAATAGGCAACATGAACAAAAAAGCAATTCACTTAGAAACAAACTGGGATGAGTCTATGCTGTAAGAAAACAGAAATACGCTGCAATCCAAGGAAGGACCAGACAAATGCTCCACAGTTGCTGGTGACAGTGATGCAAATGGGAAGCAGAAGCTCTGAACAGAACTTGCTCCTTGTTTTCCATGACCTCTTAGCCTTCACTGGGATAATCTGCTCCTAAGAGAGAAACAGTTTAAGGACAGCTGTTCTGGCATTAATTAAAAAGCCCTACAGTCCTTCCCTAATAGACCCACTTTCCTCCTCAGATCTTCTTCCTCCATTTGTTTTCATACCTGTCCTTAATTAAGTCCAGTGAGAGGAATTCACCCCTTCAAATGTGTTAAAAACGGATGTTCTCAAGGCACCTGCATCTGAGGAAACTGATTTTTTGAAGCCCATGAATTACATGAAGAGGGGACATTTTCAAGCTGAACGCTCCCTTTTGATGAGCACAAACAAGCTGCTCTATGTTAAAAACCATTCCTCTTGCTTTTAGACCTCCTTTGGCAAGAGCTCAGCTGGTAGGGTGCTAAACAGTCACTTGAAGGACTACAAGCCTACGAGCGCATTGAGGATGAGTCCTTCAGAAGGGAGATGCAGCATCGCTCCATCTGAGGATGCCCCTCTCCAGGGATAGCTATGGAAACACGCAGCCCGGCAGTGCTGACAGAGGCTTGTTGACCAACAAGATTCTGGCACAAGCCCTGTGGCTCAGCCATGGCAACAGGGCTGGTGGCGCGGCGGCAGCTGCTGCTGTGCACAGGGAAGAGCTTTTCAAAATACCACGGCTCAAACCCATGACAGAACACAAAAATAGCAAATAGGAAAGCAAACAAGGCTGCGTGTGAAATAGAAGCCAGGAAGGATGTTAGGTACAATTATAGCTATTGCCTGCCCCAAATCTTCCTGGACTTCTAACTCAATGCGTCGTCACTACGCACAATTCAACTGCTATTTTTTATTTGGTCAGAAAATGTCGAATTTCTTCCTTATTTTTCGTTTGTGAATTCTTGATAATGTGATCAAAATTAAAGCTGAGTGGCACCAGACTAAGGCCAAAACATTGGGATTTGCTGGTCTCCCAGGCATAGGTTCCCAGCCCAAAGGTGCCCCCACACCATCATCCCTTTAGCCCCAGCCCCTGCAGAATCAGCCCATGGGGTGCAAAAGGAGATGCTTATCGCCTCATTCCTCATATAAATCTGATAGATTTATACTCCCAGGTATAAATCTGATAGAATATGTCTTAGAGCCTGTCTGAGGGACACCTTTAATGATAATTCCATACCTCTTGTCAGAGCCTGCAGAAAAGGTGTTCAATCAAGGAGGTGGTGATGCAGCGGGATGAAGCGTAAGCTTCTCCAAAGCCACCCCATCTCCAGCTGAGCCTCGAGTGAGCTAAATTCATTGCTGGTGTCAGTCCAGTGAAGCACACAATTACACAGGCAAGATTTTGGGCTGTGCTGTCTAGTTCCGTTAGGCCACCCCATCAGGAGCTGCAGAGATTGCGGCCAGGAATTTGCTTATGGAAGAATGAAAAATCGCCCCCTTCAATCTTTTCCTTCCCACCTGCTGGGTTTTATCTCTTAAAAACCTGACAAACAAGGCAGGAAGATTTGCTCCGAGAGCTTTGACCCGTGGGTTGGTTCCCTCAGCTTGCTAACAGCTGAGCATTTCAGAAAAGCAGGTCTTTGCCATGCGGGATGAATTACCCGTGGTACAGCAGATCTGCACAGTGGTAGGCTGGGTTCTGCTGGAGCTGGGCATTTGCCATGCTTTCCTAGAAAAGCTCTCTGCTGCTCTCCTTGCAACATTAATTCTGAGCAACAGAGATGGAATGAAATGTACGTTTGAAAGCAAGCCACGAGGCAGAGAGCAATATTTAGCTTTCCTCTCCCAGAGGTCTCACCTGTGTTGGCACTGGTTTAAAGATGTTAGAATGGGATTAGGGGGCTAAATCAGATGTTTTATTAGTTACAGGAGCCCATTTTCCTTGCTAAATAATTGAGTGTGTGCGCTTAAGGCAAGAGTCGAGGCTGGCTGCTGAAAGGGTGCCCGTGGAACTCCAGGCTGATATTTCACAGAGGATCAGATGGAGTGTGCAGCATCAGCCTGTCTGTGAAGACTTCTGGGTCTTCTGTCATCTGGCGTGGATGCTGCTTGTTACTGGGAACAGCAGTTCCTGGGACATTTCTGACAAGGATTTACATGAGGAGAAGCAAAGGTCTGAAATTTCTTTAAAGGAAATACGTTTTCTTCTAAATAGAATCATAGAATCATAGAATAGTTCGGGTTGGAAAGGACCTTAAGATCATCCAGTTCCAACCCCCCTGCCATGGGCAGGGACACCTCGCTCTAAACCATATTACCCAAGGCCTCGTCCGACCTGGCCTTGAACACTGCCAGGGATGGAGCATTCACAGCCTCCCTGGGCACCCATTCCAGTGCCTCACCACCCTCACAGGAAAGAATTTCCTCCTTATATCCAGTCTAAACTTCCCCTGTTTCAGTTTTAACCCATTACCCCTTGTCCTTCCACTACAGTCCCTAATGAAGAGTCCATCCCCAGCACCCCTATAGGCCCCCTTCAGATACTGGAAGGCTGCTATGAGGTCTCCACGCAGCCTTCTCTTCCTGTCTTCAAAAAGGGGTTTTGTTTGTCTTTTTGTATGCCAAATGTGTCTACGATGAGAATTCAAAGGCCTGGTTAGCTTCAGGTCTTTATGTAGTGCTATCCAGTCCAGGAGATGAAAAAGCTGAGAAACGTGCAGCAAAACCATTCTTATGAATATTTCAACTATTCTGCAGGTTCAATAAATTAAAATACTTCTGCAAATACTTTGGAGCTTATTCATCTCTGATAACACTTGGTACCTTATTATTTCTAACTGAGCTACAGAGAAAAACATATTATTATGGATTTTGTGGTAGATCCTCCAATTTATCAACCTAAAAAGATTTCCGAGCAATAGAGACTTTCTATGCAAGTTAATATGTCATAGGCTATTTATCACCTGGGGTTTGCTGAGTCTGCATTCCTAATCAATGACTTGACAAGCAGGTTAGGGAACGCTTAGAGATTATATCCGTGCAAAGTAAGGGATGTGGCTAAAGCAGGTTCGGCCTCCAGGAGGGGATACTGGGCACTTTGGTCACCCAAGATATCTTGTGCAAATGTGGTTGCATTGCCCAGGGGTGACACCAGCAATAAAACCATGATTTCCTCACCTGAGCAAGCATTACTCCTGCAGAAACCCACAGGAGCAGACACAGAAATATCCCAGGACCCAGTTGATGGTGGGAAACTCTGGATTCCAAGATGTATAATCCCATTCTGCCTCCTTCAGCTCTCCCTGGGGCCAGGGGGGATGTCCATCCTCGCAGGTATTCATCACATCCCTGCCTCGGTGATGCTGCTTTTGTTTCCTGGCACTTCTCCCAGAGGTGGCTGCCTCTGCTGGAGGTGAAGGATGACAGAGTACGCAGGGTGTTATGGGCACTGGGAGGCTTAACACACTAAATAAATGTAATGAATATATATGATTTCATTTCCCTCCTACCCTAGACACATTTCTACACTTTCATTTGATCTCACTGATGTACTGCAGCCTCGCTCCGTATAATCTACACAAACTCCATATGCCATGGAGTGGAGATGGGAAACTTGACAGGTTGGAGCTTCAGGTGAAGGAGACCCCAGCACTACGCATGCATGAACCGGGAGCTGGCAAAGTCCCACATCCCACTGCATACCTGCCCTGAAAGCCACGGAGGCTGCAGCTTCCCATCCCATCCTGTTTCATCCTATCCCATCTGCAGCCTCAGTCCTCTGTGCACGTACACGTGCGCTCCTGCTTTGTGGGGTATGTGGGCTGCAGACCTAGAAACGTGAGAGCAAGGCGGGTGTTTCCACACACATTATAGTCTCACGGGAGGGACAGGGGTGCTCAGGGGATGGGTGGTGCATTCAGTTCAGCAGAGGAAACCCATCCTTCAGCCCATGATGGATTTACTCGTGTGACCCAGCGAGTGGAGGTCAGAAGCCCCTGACAGAAAACAAATGAGAAATGGCATCTTTCAGGAATTCCTGCGGTAACTTCTCTCCCCTCTGGCTCTGACACGTCCCCTATCATACAGAGCCACAGTGGAGGGGCTGGGCAGAGAAACACCCTTACTCACCTTGCTGCTTGCTCTTGGCCATCTCCTCCCAGCTACAACCCAAAGTGCTCCTCAAACTTTACACGCTGTTGGAGTAATGACTTTTAAAACCACCCGCCGGCATCCCCCATTACCCCTGCGTTGGTGCATGCTGCTCCTTACAGCTCCCGCGGCTGAGCAGTGAGTTACGTCTGAAATAAAGCAGATGCATTAGAAATGACTTTGCCCAGAAGCAGAGGCATGGTGCAACTTTGCACGCTCTTGTTTATGTCCCTCTGTCAAAGCCCATGTCCCCATCTTCATTGGGGATGCACATCTCAGCAGGCTGCTATGGGTCCGTGTTTAAACCCCATCTTGGGAGCCCCTAAATACAAGGCAGCACATCCATGGGTACAAATCATCTGAGCCTCACAGGGCAAGGACTGAGTCCTCTTCCCTTTAACCCTTCCCACTTGCTTTCCAAACTGTCCCCAGTTACAAGGGGTGAACACATTTAGGGGCAGGGTAACTCATTGCACCCGTTTGTGACGAGGACAGCGTGCTGTCAGTCAGAAAGCAGGGGAAGAAACGAATTAGCTGCATTAGTTTTCTTCACTGCTTAATTGTTCCTGAGAGGCTGAGTTCTGGGGAGGGCGATGAATCATTGTTTGTGAAATATTTCTTCCAAGAAGATGACTTGAAAAATACATTTATAATTTATCACAACCTCTCGCATTCTCGGGGAACGGCAGCCAAAGGAGGAAAGTTCCTCCCTCCCCCATTCATTATCGCTATAATCTTATCTCCTGCACCCTCTCCTCACCCTTTGAATATTACATCTCCTCCCGCTTGTGTGCCGAGGTGTAGCGGGGGGAAGCCGGCGGGGAAGGGGGGAGACTGGGAAAAATCATCACATATTTCAGGCTGGCTCTATTTAAATGAGTTTGGGATTGTGCTTCTCTGGAGCAGATGGCCCTGGAGATAATGATGCCTGAGCAGCGAAGGCTGGAGCCCCTCTCTCCTGTTGCCATGGCAGGCCACGGGGCTGAAATGGATTCTGCTTATTAAATTTGCGAGCTCTTGTGTACTCAGGATGAATGGCGTGCAGCCATAAAGAGGCCCAACCTCCTCATGGCGCTGGATAGTTTTATCTTAGAAAGCCAGGCACTCCAACTCTGCCAGACGAGGGTCTCATTAACCTATTAACAGCAGCCGTGGAGGAGCTCAACCCACAGGGGCTTTGAACAGGGAGAGCAGGGTGTTTCCAGGAACGTGCCGAACGCCGGCGTTCCTCGTGGCTTAAAACCCTGAGTGAGGGCAGTCAATCAGCTGTTGGCTCGAAAAGGGGAGAGCTTCACTCAGCACACAGGCACCCACGTGCTTCCCACACGTGTCTGTATGGGACATAACACCACAGAGCCCAGCGGAGCATCCAACACCACCGTCACCTCCCATGTGGAGTTGGGGATTCACCGAGGCACTGATGCTCGCACTCAGGTTTGCTTCATATGATGTGGCGAGACTTAAAGTAAACCATTAAAACTTCATAAATCAATATAAAACCAAGTTTGGCAGCAATTTGAAGCATAGTATAGTCGGGATTTTGCTTTCCAATGTACTTTTCTGTAGAGCTGCTTTACAGAAACGTGCCGATTGTGTGGAAGAATGGCAATTTGATGTGCAGTGAGGCAACATGCATTACATTAGGATGCAGTTAACTTTGATTAACCAGAGGTTGGTAAAACAGCACTGCACTATATTTAGTTTCACATCACTTTTTTTTTACGTGTTATTATGCAAATTTTTGCACGAGCCTTATTTCAAATGCAACCCAACTCTGTTTTCTTCCCTGCTTAGGGGGAATCTGCATTCCTGCATGGCCAGCAAAAGCCCACCTGACCGAGCTGTGCTCCTTGCTCAGGCAGCATCCACCTGCCCAAACAACCTCATGATATGAAATCATCACATCAAAGATTGCCAGTGCTGGGCTTTCATCCCCAGGACTAACATGGAGGTGAGGGCTGCTTGTTCTGGGGCAAATCTTCCCACTCTAAGAGGAGAAATCAGAGACCAAACACTTGCAAACACCTCAATCACATACTTACTGATGGACTTGGTGTGGTCTGTAGCTGTAAAGTTGGTGGGAGATTTTCCCCCATTATTGGAAAATATTGATTTGGTGGAAAAGGAAGCGTTCTTGGACCATAGTTGGGGTTGTAAATCTTCCTTCCTCTGCAATAGCTAACAGGGAGCTTGGCCTCCTTGAGGCTTGAAGTATCTTGTCAGGTCACTGCAGACTCACACAGAAGGGACTGGAAATGGTCCAAAAACTCCTCCTCAGCTTCCAAACCCCTCGTCACAACTGCGTAAAAGACAGTCATTGAGCAGGGTTGGTGCAAATAATCACCAGTACTGTGGAAAGATCGTCCTGGACTCTGAAAATGAAGCACAAAAGTCAAATCCAGCCACATTTCTTGGCATTCAATCCTCCTACCTTCAGGCCAGATCTCCAGGTTAATACTCCTAATGAGATAGTGGCAAAAGGGATGTTCACAAGAATTCACTTGGCAAAGCCAGCTGAATAGTTAGATTTAACACTGCTATTCATTTCAGTGAGTGCTGAGTATCTACATCCTGCAGCTGGCTTTGGAAAGCATGGTCTGATCCAGGGCCTCTGGACATCTCTGACATCTCCCCCGTCAGCTGCTGGCCTCAGAGCGGCTCCTGCTGCCTGTGCATCTTTAAGCCGAGATGATATGAAATCTAACCCTCGCTCAATATCAGCTATTTAGAAGGCACTGCAGACCACAGGAACAGAAACACGTGTCCAGATTTTCACAGAGCTCTCAAAATACAACCCCAGCAATACCGAGTAGACGCAGTCTGCATTTTAAAAGGCTGGTTGGAAGTGCTGGTGTGGTGGTCATGCATTTACCCATTTCCAGCTGTGTCCCCCAGCAGGTTTCCTGACCTGGGCTGGCCACCCGCACTGGGCTATAGGCCAGCTTCACGGATGGGTTGGATGCTAGCATGTGTAAGCCCAATGTAGTCTGCAGGACGTATCCAGGGTCACCTTAGGAGGCTGCATGAGAGCAGAGGGCTGGAGCCAGGACTCCTGCACATCAGGTTGGTGCTCCCAGCCCTAACCCACCACCCTCTTTGTTCTGAAATCCCCATCAACAGGGAGGGTGAAGGAGAGGACAGGCAAAACGCTTCTGGGGCAGCTGCCTACGAGTGCAGGCCATAGAAAAGGGATTAGCTCTGTCTTCAAAATGCAAATCCCCTTGACACACGCCAAGCTCGCAGGCACTCCTGGAGCCGTTTGCCCAGTCCTGACTTACAGCTTTTACACAGGCACCAGCTTTGCCAACTTAATGTCGGAGGTATGAACACCGGTGAATTAAAACGGAGCCTACAAATGAAAAGCCGATTAGCAGATATTAGAAGGACATTGAGATGAAGAGGCCACAGTGATGGAGAAAGGCTCCTCACCCCCACCTTGGTGCATAGCACAACCCCCTCCCTGATCTCTGTGGTTCCTTTGCTATGTCCTAATCCCCTTGCACAGAGACAAGGGGACGTCAGTGGGAAGAGGAGCTTCTGCAGACTTCTCTGTGTCAATTTACACAGAAATTACACAGAACCATGAGAAGAAAAGGGGATCACAGCAGGCTCCTTGCTCTCGAGAGCAGCCCTATGTAAGGTGACTGCAACAGGAAGGTTTCCATTGACAATAAGGAAAATACTAGAGGATTTATGGAGAAATGTGGCTGAAAGGCTTTCAAATAAGCAGACAGTAAAGCTGTGCTTTAGCATCACTCTTACAGCCCAAACTTTCACATTCCTACCCTGCACTCATCACTTACGCACAGTTCCCTAACCTGGATGCTCATTGAACTGGGAGACTTGGGTTGCCAAATCAGCACTGTCAATCAAGACCTGACTACCCATCAGATAGATAGACTAAGCTGCTGCAAAGAGGTGGTGTTGGCCCAAGCCAGCAGGAGTTGGGATGGTCAATGAGAAGCTCTACCAAAGCTGCTGCAGTCTGAGCAGTTCACACAAAGCCGAGTGAGAGCAGAAAATCTCTTTCCCTCATCTCCAAAACAGGCTGAAATTCAAATGGGTCAAGAGGGCTTTTGCAAAGGGAAAGACCTGGTGACTTCTCATCAGTATTAGTTATTCCACTTCCTTCTCCATCATCCCTTGATGCAGCATTGCTCAGGGAAGGCCGTATCAGGTGAGTACAGGAGTCCTTCCACTCATGGGCTGGCAAGGAACTGAAGGAGTGAGCAGGAAATGCCGAGACCAAAATCACTGCAGGTTTCCTGACAGTCAGTTTTACACCTTAGGATTTACGAAGCGAACAAGGAAAAACCACTGGAGAAACACTGGCAAAGGCAAGTTTGAAATGCAGGGTAAAGATTGGTCTTTTCCCTCCCTTTGTTACTAAACAGTCAATTTGGAACCCGAGATTTTCGCGCTCGTGAATGCCTCTTGTGTCTTCCCAAAGTGGGACATACCCACAAGCAATTTCATAAATTGAAGCCAAACACTTCAGTCACAAAGCCAGCTTAACTTCACAGGGAAAACAAGGCCAGCATTAACCCGGCTTTCTTCAAGTAACATTGCAGTTTTTTCTGTTAAGAAATAAATTACTGGCTCCGGGAGGAAGAAAGGAATCGCTTTGCTGTGATAATTGCAAGGCAAACAAAAAGGTAATTTCTGCCTGACTCCCATTTAGAGAATGGCTCAGCTTTCCCCAAACAGCCTTAGTTCCCAACAGAAAGCAAGCACTGAAATATGCAAATATTTAAAAACCAGCAAGCAAATCCCTGGAGAAGAAGGAACAAAAAGGAAAAGGGGGAAGGGGTGTCCTCAGATACAGACATTGCAGGCTGGGGGCTGCATTGCTGAAGCCTCCAGGAAGTTTCCTCCAGGGTCAGCCAAGGAAAGCAATGGCATGGGGACATGCTCTGAGGTCCATCTCCCAAAGCATCCTATACCCACTTAACCACCAAAGCAGATCACTCCTGTGCAGGCTGTGATGTGTGCAGAAGCCTCAGCCTGCCCTCACACCACTCTAAGCAGGATATTCAAATGCTCCTTAGGCTTTGGTAGCAACATGCCAAAGAAGGGACAGCCCACACCTCTCACCTCTATCCCAGCCTGGATGAAGACCAGACAGATATTCCAGCTCTGTTTCACACCTGGATGGCATTGAAGATTATGTTCCAAATCATGAGACCCGCAGATTTAATCTCTTTAATCAAACCAACACCTATATTCCAAAGCTTTCATTCTAGTAACTTTCCTTGCCCTTGACAGCAGGGTCTATGTCAAGTGACTGGTCACCCTTAGCCCAAGAAAGGACCATCTGCAAGGTGGTCTCATTTGGGTGTTTTCCCACTTTCTTTGCTTGTATATTATTAATAGTCTCAATAAACTTGTGCTACCAGTTACACCAAGAGTGTTCCCATTCCTAAAGTGCTTTATAGGTAATTAAGGTTTTATTCTGTTGGCTAGTGACTCCCAATGTAAATGGGGCATGTTGGGGGTTATAATGCTCCCAACCTGGGCAGGTTTCAAGTTCAAAAGAGGCAGAAGGAAATATTCCTTCAGGAATTATTTGTAGAGCTGGGAAGGAAGGTCCTTGCACAAGAAAGAAAATGATGAAAAATTCATGGAACAAAATATCCCTCAAAACCAACTTTGTGGATAACACAGGAAATGCTGGAGCCCCAAATCACTGTGATCAGGTAAAGGATTTTGGAGGAAGCATCTTGCTTATTCCCACTGCCATTCTGACCTGTATAGCCTGTTCCTATAGGGAGCAGCTCCTATGGATCTATCAACCCCAAGCACATCCCTCCTTCCCCATCCCGTAGCGCGCTCCCTGGGTATCCCATGGTGTCGGTGACACCGGGGAGCCCTGTCCGAGGTGGGTGGGTGGCAGAGGCCGGTGTGCATGTGAACCCGATGAGCTGGGTGCATTTTCCTCCCCGCACACTGACACGGCTTCGCTTTTGTTTCCTGAGTAAATAGAAAAGCCACGGTGGCAGGAAGGAGAAAGGCAAGGCAAGGGCTGGGTGAGCAGCGCCTGTTTACAATGACAAAGGGGCTCTGCCACACTTCGGGGAGGAAATTTTCCTTCCAGACTTCAGGCCTCATTAAGTGAGTGGGCACAGCTAATAGGCTTTGTGTGCGGACGGCCCCAGCCTTGCAAGGTCCAGCTGTCACTGGGGCGAATGTCAAAAATAACAGCGGGCTCAGCCGTTCTCCACCCCGCTCCGGCTTTAAAATTTATCTTTCCAAGGGGGAGGAGCAGGCACTGAAAAGTAGCAAGCAATTAACGGGAGACAAAAGCAAATGGAGCCGCCGGGGCTGATTGCGGGAGAAAGGGGGAAAAGTTCCCCTGGAGGTGGGGAAGACACAGAAGAGCTTGAAGAGCCCCCGTTGGCAAGAAGAAACTCGTTGCAGTGATAAATGCACAGGCGGGGCTTAGGAGGATGCTCAGGAATTGAGGGTCCCGGCGGTCCCTCTCCTGCTGCAGCCGTCTCCCTGCCACGCGTCTTCGCTCGCCGGTATCTCCCTCACAGATGGTGACTCCGAAACAGCGAGCACATGTCTTCCCTCGGCTAATCCGGAGGTCAGGCTCCTCCCAGGTTTAGTCTCACGCTGCCAGCAGAAAGCTGACAAAATTATGCAGAAATAAATATGCTTCTGTGTTTAACTTCTCTCTTTCACCTCCATCCAATCTCAGCCTGCCCTGAAATCATATTTGCATGTGTTTAGTTTATCCCCCCACTCTGTCGGCTCCGTCTGGATGGAGATGCACAAATGGCTCGTTTGAGGGTATTTGTGATGCATGCGATACATCAACGGGGAAAAAGGGTTTGAACACCTCCAGAACTTTAGTAGCTTATTGGGTCTTGGCATGACAGCCCCGCAGAGTGCCTCCTGTATTTTTAGCTCACCTCGAGCTGACTTTGATTTCAGGCAGCAGCATCACAAACTCCAGAGCTTGCCACAGTTTCTTTGTTTTGACGGATGTGCCTTTACTCCATACCCCCGTTTTAAAACACGTGGGGTCATCCCTTCACTTTTACTGCTGAAGAGTGTATTTCCATCAGCCTTTCAGCCACTGGGTCTCTGCATCAAGGCAGATTGTGCCTGAGCAGCCTGAACTCATGATATTTACACAGCTCTTTGCTACTTCTGGGTAGAACACATGAGCTACCAGCAGTGGGTTATGTATACCAGACAATTTAGGGGCCAAACCATGTCTTTAAAATGAAGAGGTGTTTTCTTGGGGAAAATCCTCCATATTCCATGTCTGGAAAATGGAACTCCTGAAACAAAGGCACTTGCAGGCGTCTGCCTTAGCACAAGGGTTCAGGCCACAAGAACAGTTTGGCTTCACAGTATCCCAGAAGAACAGGTTGGGGATTTCTTACCTGTAAGCCCAGGCAGAGCTCCAGGCTGCTGGGAAGGGCTAGGATGTGCAGTGAAGTGAGGTCAAGGCAAAAGATGCCTGCAACAGAGAGAGGCCCAGAGTTGCTCAGGGCACCTTCTCCAGAGCCCATCAGCCTCAGAGAGCAGATGCTGACACACCTGATTCAATTCTGGCTTCAAACTGGCTGCACACCTTCCCTGTGCCCCATTTCATTCCCTGTTTCATCATGCACAGATATGCTGCGATAAAACATAAAGAAATCACATAGGAGGAAGTTTTGGGTTAGTTTGAGGCTCAAAATATGGCCCCAGAAGAGGTAAATCAAGCCTGGAAACCCCGGAGGGCCCCTGCAAGCAGCACAGAAATTTTGCCTGAATGAGCCACGCTGGTGAGAGCTTGAGCTCTCAAAAGACACAACAATACACCTTGATGGGAAGGAAGCAGTGAGAGAGAGCCTACTCCAAACACATCTGCTCAGATCCAGGGTTCAGCTTGTTGCACTTGTACAGGGAAATCTGTGCAAACAAACAGTTATTGAATAGGTCAACGGAGCAGGGCGGCTGAAGGAGCCCAACAATAGGGCGGTTTATTCACTTAATGTATGCCAAGGCCATTCACCAGGCAAGCACCTCTTAAGGAGCCACGTGACAAACAGACTCAATTTGCCATTTGCCAAGGTCATGCAATTGGGATGCTGTGGACAATCTTGGATAACGGGAGCTACAAGGATGGTGAGGAAGCTGCCTCGTTTCCCCTGCTTCCATGGTGCTGGGGTTTTGTTCTCTCTAATTGCACATTGGAAGGGGAGGAGGTTGCTGGGCTGCTCATTGAGATGCGATGCTCAGTGGTTTACCTTCACAACACTTGGGAAGTCAATGTGTGTGTCCCCACGTCGTCATGTCCCCCTCCTCCATTGCCAGTCCCTCCATTGCCAGCCTCATGTCAAGTGGGGTTTGGAGTCCAGCAGCAAAGGCAACGTGGAGCCAACAGCATCTGGGGAAGGACATGCAGAAAGTAGGTGGTGAGCTCAGTGTTTCATTCATATGCAACCTCAGCGTTCTCCATGCTGCAAAACACCCAGAGATCCAGCTGTGCAAACAGGGGCTTTGACAAAGTCATCCTCCCCTTCTGCCCAAGGACCCTTCATGGCCGCTCACAGCTCCTCTGCATTTATTTGCTGTTCAAACACAATTGATAGATAACCTTTCTTTACAATAAAGCAAACAGACTGTTCATGGACCATGGCAGTCTCCAGTTGGAGTTCCTCCAACCCTCCTGAGTGGGGGTGAAGCGATTGCAGGCCGTAGTTTTTCTCTGCTTGTTGATGGAGGTTTTGTTCACCCCTCCTTAGCCTGCAACGTCACAGAATCCCAGAATGGTTTGGGCTGGAAGGGACCTTAAAGCTCCTCCAGCTCCAACCCGTCATGGGCAGGGACCCCTTCCACTGGAGCAGCTTGCTCCAAGCCCCTGTGTCCAACCTGGCCTTGAGCACTGCCAGGGATGGGGCACTGCTTCTGGTGAATACCCACCTTTGGCATGGGATAGGGACTCAAGGTGGTGGGGATGAGGTTTCACACCATTTGCACAGTTAGGTGGGATTGTGCTCTGGGTAAGACTGCTCCGAGCACCCAGAGCTGTTTTTGGACAGCCAGTGAGCAGGATCTAAACACCATTTTAAAGTATTACCATGGATCTCCAACAAAAGACAGCAGGAGGGGAAAAGCATGAGAACAAGCTGATGAAGATGAGAAAAGGAGGAGCAAGAGAAGTGGCAGGAAAGGGAAGGAGGAGGAACAGACAGGCAAGGACGATGTTGCATTTGGGGGACCATCCTGCACCTCCTTTCTTGCTTGGCTGGAGGCTGCTCCTGATAACACACACACCGGGGTGGATGTGGCGACCGCTTTGCTGTTGGGTCCCCCAGCCTGCCACAATAAGGTGGAGATTTTTGGGGGTGCACATTGTCCATCCTTACCTCTTTGCCTTCCCCAGCGATCCCCTTCCCCCTCGACGCTGAGATCCGCCAGGATTTCCTACGCATCTGTATGCAAATCACAGGCTGCCAGCACCAGGAGAGGGACTTTGTTCAGAGCATCCCTGGCACAGCTGCTCTGCTTCCCGGGGCCAGGCAGGAGACCCTCCGGCTGCCCGCACTGCGGGGCTTGGGATATGGAAACACCAAGTAAAACATTGCATGATGTTAGGGAACGATCCATCCCACAGCCATGGTAAAGGCGGTGCTAAAGGTCTTGGGATATGGGCAAGGGAAAATAAAACCTGCTTTTGTGAAGCGTTGGAATATGGGAAGCAGGAGGTAGAATCATAGAATAGTTAGAGCTGAAAGGGACCTTAAAATCATCCAGCTCCAACCCCACAGGCAGGGAGAAGCAAAGGACAGAGCCAAGTTTGGGGAACCAAACGTATTGACGTGGCTCCTCGTGTCCAGCTCAGTGCTTGGCTGGGGAACAATCTGCTCCCAGCCTGGAAGACAGATTCCTGCAGCTGAGACTTGGTGGCAGGACTTCAGTTCCTTCCAGCCCAAGAGACACAAAGCACAGCTCCCTCCCTGCTCCCACATACGATAGCTTTGCTTTTCTTCAGTATCTCAGCCAAAAACCCCCTCCTTCTGCCTTCTTCTTGGGTAAACTTTTTCTGTTACAAACCCAGCACGTTCTGAATATAAAGTCCATTGTCTCGAAACCCAGTTTGTTTTCAGCAAGAAGTGTTTACAGAGCCCCAGCGAGCTCCCAACAGCCTCTGCAAACACAGAAACCTGAAACACCCTGGGAGGTGATTTTTCAGTCTTCCAAAAGAAGAGCACTGGAAATCTCTGCTGATGCTAAAATGAGCCATAGCTCCCCAAAACAGAGGATTCTGTTAGAGGTGCTGGCCCTGAGGAGCTGCATGGGATGGTTGTCTGATGGGGTGGGCAAACCACAGCCACCCCATGGCACCACCTCCCCTTCTCACCACTGGAAATCATAGAATCCCGGCCTGGTTTGGGTTGGAAGGGACCTTAAAGCTCCTCCAGTTCCAACCTTCCAACCAGGGGACACCTTCCACTAGAGCAGGTTGCTCCAACTCCGTCTGGCACTGACACGGATGGGGCAGCCACAGCTCCTCTGTGCCAGTGTTTTGGGGACCAATAGGAACTCCCCCCATTGAGATGCACGGCACTCACAGGACAAGCAAAAACCAGCATAAGGTGGCTTTTTACCGGTATCAGGCTGATGGTTCAGCTCCACGCACGGCCAGCTGGGGTGGGAAACCTGTGTGCAAACTCCTTGGGCCTCTCTGGTGCCGTCTTCCAACGGCGTTGTCATTTGCAACTCAAACAGCCGGTGCCTCAGGGGATCTGTTTATTTCCTCCTTTCTGCTGGACCAGATTCTTTGGCTCAACACTTTCTAAAAGCAGATTTTATTTTCCCCTTCATCCCATGTGACACGGATGCAAATGGGGAGCAGTAGGATGCCGGCTTATCTCTTATTTGTGCTTTTAGGTTATAATTGCAGTCTGAATCACTGACTTTTAAGTTACGCCGTGTTCTGCCTCAGCGCAGAAAGGGAGAGGAGCGGAAACAGGGAAGGATCCCTTGAAGTTCAGTAACACCAAACAGCTTTGCCTTCAGACAAAAAAGCATTTGCAAGTGTTCCTCCCATCCGTTAAAGGCACAAACTATTTCCGTGATGGAATAATAAAGGGAGTTAATTGAGATGGAGGGAAACAAAATAATCGAAGGAGAAAGGCTGCTTCGGTTCCTGTGTGACCATTGTGCTCACGATTGCAGCATCCTTTTCCTAGCTCTGATTTGGGGAGTTTGTTGTGTTTCAATTAGCCCCCAAACCCACCATTTTGGTGGATGGCAAAGCAAAGCTCCCCGTACTTACCCTCCCCATCCATCCCCTGCCTGATGCAGCGAGCTGTCTGGCTGCTGTCACCACATCCGTCCCCATTCCTACTGGGGCTGGCGTGTCCAGCCACGCCACGACCTGCATTAACACATCCCATAGAAGCCAGGGCTGCCGGGTCCATGCAGCCACGGACATGGGAGGCAATAAAGCAATGTCAGTGCCGCTGGCTGCTCCCTCCTTCCCATCCCCCTGCAGGGATGGAGAGTGGGATGTTGATGTAAATCCCCAAACAACGTGGGCTCAGCCGTGGAAAGGGGATTTTCACTCAGTGCTGAGCCCTAACTTCCTTTTAAAGGATGTACATGTTTGATTAGCCAACCTCAGCACCCCCATAGCATCAGGTCAGGGTAATTAGAGACCTTGTGTTAATGAGTAAACAACGGCTCAAGAGCCTAATTGACACTTCCAAGCCCCATGCACGTTGCTAATTGCCAGAGCTGAACCCACAGCCCCTGAGTTTACACACAGTAAATCCTTCCTTTGAATAAGTTATTCCCTCTATTCCCAACACCAGGAACTCTCCAGCACCAGGACAGGGGGAGGAGTACAAGTGGCTGGGATGGGTGCTGAGAAATGCAAGGTGTTGGGATGGGTGCTGTGAAATGTAAGGTGTTGGGATGGATCCTGCAAAATGCAGGGTGTCAGGATGGATGCTGCAAAATGCAGGGTGTTGGGATGGGTGCTGCAAAATGCAGGGTGTTGGGATGGGTGCTGCAAAATGCAGGGTGTCGGGATGGGTGCTGCTAAATGCAGGGTGTTGGGATGGATGCTGCTAAATGCAGGGTGTTGGGATGGGTGCTGCTAAATGCAAGGTGTCAGGATGGATGCTGCTAAATGCAAGGTGTTGGGATGCGTGCTGTGTGCCTTTCTGCCCTGTTAAAAGGCCATCCTGAAGCTCCTAAGCAGACAATACCATCGCACTGCCCCTTGTGCCCCCGGCAATGACCCTGCAGGACCACCCTCCAAGGAGGTGAAGGGTAAAGCATTCACCCTGCTCCACCAGCCCTCTCAATCTTCCCTAGACAAAGGCTGTCTCTGGGGAGCAGGTCCTGGGGCGGGGGCCGGGGCAGGGCTGTCTGGTGGGAAGTGGCAAGGCTGGGTCACACAGGGATAGGTTTGGAGGAGCGGGAGAGCAGAGGTGAAAGGGCAGCCCTCCCATCCCACCCCCCGCCTCCCCACTGCCTTCCGCACTCCTCCTGGCCTTTGCTTCCCAATCCCACTGCTCCCCCCAGCCTGTCCTCAGAAAGAAGGAAAACCCAATGTAATTCATGGAGCTTTTCACCCCCAGGTAATTTACGGAGGCAGCATCTGCCGGACATGGGGGACACTGTACTTAATCTCAGCATCCATGTCCTCTAGCCTCTTTCATGATAAGTTTGGGTATTATTCAGGCCTAGATGATCACTGTAGGTCTGTTTCCAACTGAAACATTCTGATTCATATTTTTCCCCTAAAACAACCCCAAAAAGCACTAAAAGTACCTGTCATTGTCTGACTCCAATCTAGCACAGTTCATCCAGGCAAACTGCACTGAGAAACTCAGCCCAAGGATCACACCTCATCCCGTGAGAGCTCAGTCTTGGTCAGGACGTGATGGAAACAGTGAACCAGCCTTCATTTCTTCCCTCTGCACACAGCAGGGGCTGAAACCCATCTCATCAAGTAAAGCCTTCTTTAAATTGGGTTGATATTATGGACTTAAGAAGCTCCCGGTGACAGGATCAACACAGACAGGCTGAAACAAATACCTGAGCTGAAAACAGAGGTGGAGGCGAAAGACAGCAAGCAATAGGAGCTTTGAAATGCCCCATAGTGCACAGCTTGGGTATCCTGGTGAGAGACATCCCTGCAGTTCTGCCTTGATACAAAGCAACATCAGAGGGTGGAGGTGGGAAAGGGATGTCTCCTTCTTGTCAAAGAAAGAGACAATCCCCCCCCCTTACCAGCAAAATCACCCCCAATACATTTACCAGCCAAAAGCTGCTTCACTCCAGCTGATTCCCTGCCCTAATTGTGAAAATCAGTTGTGAAGTGCACTGGATATTCACTGATGCCCGGGTTAGTGCAGCATCACTCTGGGCTGCGCACCCACTTGCAGACCTGTCCCTGTGCCCCCATCCACAGGCTCCACGTGTCCCCAAGCAGTGGCCGGAGCAGGCAGGCCAGGCTGGGCACAGACCAGATGCATACTTTCATATAAGACTCACTAATGGCCTTTCAGGTACAACATTATTATTTTCCTCTAATGGCTGCTTTTCTCCCTTTCTTCCTGGCTGGCTCATAAAAGGCACATCATAACTACAGAGGGAGGGGGGGAAAGAAGGCGAAAGCTTTGCAAATTACAGCAATCAGAGAGCCTGAACCATTAGGAGCATCTGGGGCTGCATTTTACATAACAGTGGACACTTTCTTTGAAACAATTACAGCTAATAATGAATTAGGATTGACTGGGCTGTAAACGTTTCAAATTGCAATTCAGAGACTGTCACTCCTCACCATCCCCTTCTCGCTGGAAAAAAACCCTCTTAATGCTCCACACAAGTACTGTAGTGGGGATCGTGCAAGATGAGCTTCTCCATAGCCACCAGCGCCACGTCCTGCACTATGGTCTCATCCTGTTGTGTTTGAACAGGAACACAATCCTGTTCGATTTGGGATCTTGCCTCCAAACACAGCTCATGGCAGATGCTTCAGGGAAGAGTTTGCAGTGTAAATTGATGTATCAGGGCGCTTTGTCCTTGCCTGTTTTGACTAATCCCAGTTTAGGGATGGATCAGCAGGCTGCCCTTTTCTTCTTAAGGAACTGCTTTCCAAAGGGAGTTGCTGTATTTTGGCCCATGGGGTGCCCTGTCTCCAGCTGCCCCAGCCCCAGTAAGCCCAGTGCTACCCTGACATCTCCAGCCCAGTCCAGTTCCAGGTTCTTGTCCCATTCTGTGGGGATCTTGGCTGCCTTGGGGCTCAGATCTCACATGTACCCACAGCTGAGACCATACCCCATTGGTGGCTCGAAGTCCATAGAATCACAACGGCTTGGGTTGGAAGGGACCTTAAAGCTCATGCAGTTCCCCCCCTGCCACAGGCAGGGACACCTTCCGCTAGAGCAGGTTGCTTAAGCTGTGGCTTTTTCTGCCTAGTCTGGGGCAATGAGACCCTTCAGGTGCAGGGAGCTCAAGAAGTGGATGCGTTTAATGAAAACTAGAACTGTTATTGCTCTTCTTGTCTTGTCTCTGGGGGTT